CCCCCCATCCTTTCAAGACCAGCGATGGGGGACTTCCAGATGCATCCAGATGTTCAGAAAGCCATTTTGCAGGGAGCAAAGGTCCCATTTGCCCCGGGAGTTGCGCCAGGGAGATGGGCTCAGGGTGCTGATTAAAACCGGCGCAGCGGCTAACCGAGAAGCTGGCGTGCAACTGCTGGGCCCGCGTGCAGCTGGCGGTGGAAACAAGCCATGGCTTGCAGCAGTTTCGGTGAGTACGGCCTGCTAACAGTTCACAAAACCGCTTCCCTTGTTCCTCCCCCCCCCCCCTTCCCCAGGCAGACAGGCAGTAGCAGCCGCTCAGCGTCTTTCCAAAGGGCGGTCTCGGCTGCAGGAGGCCGAGGTGAGCACTCTGCACATGCTCTGGGTGCCTTCTGTGAATCTTTCCTCTCCCAACAGATCAGCAGGCCCGCAAAGAGGTCTTTTTAGAAGTTTGAAATGTCTACTGCAGTGTTTCTCAACCTCGGCGACTTTAAGACACGTGGACTCCAACTCCCAGAATTCCCCAGCCAGCCATGCTGTCTGGGGAATTCTGGGAGTTGGAGTCCACGCGTCTTAAAGTCGCTGTAGTTGAGAAACACTGGTCTACTGTAAAGTCCTAGAGGCGAAGAATTCTGCTGTTGCTGATGACAAATACCTTCCCATCCAAAACCCAATTTAAGATTAATTTCCCTTTGGGCTGGGTTTACACAAGCATCAGCCATTTATTTACAAAATTCATATCCTGGCTTTCCTTCAGGAGCTCAAGGCGGTCTATGTAGAGCTCCTGTTTTCCCCCCACAACAACAATCCTGTGAGGTAGGCTAAGCTAAGCTCAGAGCGAAGGGTTGGCCCGAAGTCACTCCTGGGACTGAAGGGGACTTAAACCTGGGTCTCCCCAGGGCCAAACCAACTTCACACTGACGAACCCACTCTAATAATGTTTTTTTTTTAAACAATTGGCTTGGCAACATGGGTAAAGTCATCTTAGTTTATCAATTATGGTTTATGGCTTAGTGTTCTGAGATCTGTGTTGTACTTAACCATCTGTGGCTTTGTGGTCGGCGTACAACTCCCTGGGAACCTTGGTTTGTGTGTGTATACCTGTGTGTGGCTTAGTTATAAACCATCTGTATCTTGGTTTATAGTTAATTTATGTCCGAATGGATTGTACCAACCCAGAAAATGAGAGGTACAAGTTGTGTGAGCTTGACCAGAGCGTAACTTGCTGTAATCCCCAAATCGTAAAATGCAAATAGAGCGAGCAGTGATTTATTTCTCAAGACACTTAACATACTGTATTAAGTTTTGCTTTTGGCATTTATTTATTTGTTTTTATTTGTTTTATTTTGTTTTATTTGCTTTTATTTGTTTTATTTTTATTTATTTGTTTTTATTTGGCAAAGAGACCCCCTTACAAGCGTTCTTGTTGGGAAACAGTCTCGAGATATTTGCAAATAAACAAATCAAATCAAATCAAAGTTTATTGATTAGCCCTTAGGCCATATCAAAAGCAAATCAACAAATGACTGATCAAGAGACTACGTTGAGGGTTGATGCTATAAACTTTAAAATAGCTGATATTTCGAACGCGAGAAAAGGAACCTGGTTGTTATTCGGGTCAGATTTTCCACCCAGAGCCCTGCTAGCTGGAGATTATGGGAGTTGTAGTCTTGCTGAGGATGGATGGTTGAGTCTATCTTGGTTCATTTTTGAAGGCTTGGAAACTCAGGTTGAGAGACCGAATAAAAAGCTGTAATAAAAACTGTTCACTGGGCAGGCAGGTAATAAACTGTATAATATAAAAATTCACACTAACAGTAAAAGTCCTGCTGAAGTGTGTAGTTGTCCTTTCAAAAGGACTACAAATCTAAGCTTTCCAACAGCTTGGTCATTCCCATTGCAAAAATGTGTGAAATGACTTTTAAAAGAAATGACTTTTTTAAAAAGTGACTTTTTTTAAAAAAGGGTTTTTTTTAAAACCCCCTTTTTTTAAAAAAGACAGATGGAACTATTTACTTTGGTCCAGCAGAGTAGGGTAACCCAGTCAACTGTGGGTTGTTCAACAGACCATGGTTAAACAAGCAATGGTTTAGAGCAGTGTTGTCCAAACTTGGCCACTTTAAGACGAGTGGACTTCAACTCCCAGAATTCCCCAGCCAGTCATTGCTCTAAACCAGTGTTGTCCAAACTTGGCCACTTTAAGACGAGTGGACTTCAACTCCCAGAATTCCCCAGCCAGTCATTGCTCTAAACCAGTGTTGTCCAAACTTGGCCACTTTAAGACGAGTGGACTTCAACTCCCAG